AAATGCAACAGACCAGTGGTCTGTCAAATGTAACCATTGATGTATCTCACACCAATGTGAAACCCATTGTCGTAATCAAGTGGCTACATGTAGCCACTTGCGTGTAACCCCGTTACATCTTTCTCCATGAGATGCTGGGTTTGGAGAGTCTGAACAGACATCGACCTACACATCAATTTCCATTTAAAAGTTAGAAATAGGTGTGAAAACCCTCCATCACTAGTCTTTAAAGTCGATTTGCATAGATCCTTATAGAGTGAGAAAGTGAGAGGCTGCTTTCCCGAAGTTTTGGGAGTGCTGGTCTAGCCTTCATCAGCTTCTATTCGTTTCATACCTGGAAACAACTGCTTCATAATATCTCCATACTCAGGCGGCAAAGCGGCGCGCTTCACTCGATAGATGTCTTTCACGGCACTACGGTATCCACTTAAAGTAGCTGTCTTTACAGAAGAACTTTTGTAGACGAGAAATCGCTCAAACAAACTTGGTGTAAAATTATCCAGATTGAGGTCATCTTCATCGTCAAAATATCTGGCAGTGTTCTCATCCTCTATAGCGAGCTCGCCACTGATCCACTTTTTTTATACCGCTGAGGCTACTCCTGTACTTTCCCCTTGTTTGCGTGGTGACACACGCGTCCTGTATCGCCTCGACGCCGATGTGGCTCAAGCTGTGAGGTGGAGCTCTCGTCCGTCGCGAGTTTCTACCATTCATGTTGCTTGAGGCTTTTTATTTTGTGCCCCACGGAGTCCGATTTTAGCCAATTAGACAGTACAACTATCGTCGGCAGCTCGCACTTACGATTTTTTTGCTGAATTCTATACTTCTTCCATGGAGTCCACTAAAGCAGTTGCATTTGCAGAATTTGATGCTTCTTCCATGGAGTCCACTAAATATCAATGACCGTATTTTCATAACTATAAATATTGACGACATTCCTTCTTTCGAGACTGTGGCGGAGATGCAATATCCCGATGCGTGGTTCCCTCCGTTCGAAATCGTAGCTGAGACGCAGGATCCGGACGGCGAGGAGGAGAAGACTGAAGATGTTGGCGTGGTACCTGTTACCGAAGATCTCGCACAATTATCTTCGCTTTCGCAACATCCAACCACCCCGTCGACCTATCGTTTGAAAGAAACCACCAAGGTCATCCATTCGAGCGTGATTTGCAAGCTTACTCGTATTTGCAGACACCCATGGCTAATCGAAGAGATCAAGAAAGTTTGCGTCGCGATGAAGCAAGTTCAGCTGGAAGGCTGGCATCTCGCCAACTTGCACGTGCTGCGATGTTTGAAAGAAAGAGACGACGTTCCCAAGTTGGAGCAGATGTTCTTTTATCGATGCTGTGTTGCCACGCTTGGCAACATCGAGAAGCGAGATCGCCTCAAGAAGACGACAAACTACGAGACACGAGGACTCCGTAAGGCGCGTGGCTGCAGCTATTATAGCTGAGGTCGACTAGGTGATGTAGTAGGGCTCGTGATCGACGACGCTGCTGAGCAGTACGACATCCTCAACACGTTGG